TTTTTTAAAAAATGAAACCTTTGAAATGTTTCCTCTGAAGTATTCTGATAAATATTGAAGATCATATAGTTTCTTCAAAATGGAAAATGTTCAGGTTACTTAGTAAACAGTGGCAATGAATTTTGCGTCCCTCATTTGCCATATTAAGCTGGTAGTTGTTTCTTTATTAGAGGGGGAATGTGTAGATATACCAGGTTTGTGGCAACATTTTTTCTCCTAATTTTGAGGGAACTCCAAATCACTCCCTAAAATTCTTTTTTATTTAAATTAAAGGTGTTAAGGTATAAGTAAGTATCAATAGAAGTGTAGGTAGTAGTTCTATAGATCCCTTCTCTGTAAGAGCTCAGATTTCTTTTTCCAATAACATTGTCAAACTGCTTGGAAACTGTCTGTTGCTGTATAGTATAACTTTCTCCAAAAGACTCCTGTGTTTTTTCCTTTGGATAAAGATTCCAAGGCAGGAGATTAAGTGATATAGCCATAGCTTAGAGTCCTCTTGGCAGGAGTTAGGGCTGCCTTTCCGTAATTCCTTGTGACAGTTTTGACCGCATTTAAATCTGCTGCTCACTTTATTTCTTTAGCACAGAGCAACTAAGAGGGTTAAAAGAAAGTAATTCAGGTAAAGTCCCATCACATCAAACTTCAGTGGAATAGCCAAATTTTTTTTTCTCTGTGCTAGAATCTCATCGAAATGCATACTGCTCAGACATGAATGGGAAGCTTACTAATAATTGAAAAGAAACACTGTTTATTCAGGTTGTCATCAGTTCTGCCAAAACACAGTCATTTTCCAGAACAAGAGTACAGGAGTGGGAGTGATGCTGAATTATTTTGTCATATCTCATGATTTTCTGCCAGAATCAACTGCTTTCACCCTAAACATGCCCCTCTACCCAAACCATTAGAAGACAAGAAACATTCCTTATCAGCCCTGACCTTGAAATGAGGTTTCTAACTGAGCCAGTAAGGATCCTTATGGGCCCCATTTTTTTCCAGGCTGACATGTGAAATTAGTAATCATAACCATTATGGGTGCTGCTCACATTATTTGACATCAGAGTGCCTGGAACATAGTAGGCAATCAGAAAGTGCTTGTTGAATTGAATTCAACAAAACAAGGTTGAAGATGTGGACAGCTGCTAATATATACGTAATCACTGAGTTTGCCTCCTTTTCTTAAGCTTATATATTGTCTAATTAGAAAGGACCATATCATTAAACCTATTGATTTTTCATTTGAGAAACTGAAGTCCTCAGATGTGAAGTGAGCTGTCCAAACTAGTGCTCCTTACAACTGGTTAGAAAAGCCGAATTCAGACCCAGGTATCCGCCTCCAAATTCAGGGGCCATTCCACAACTTCATAAGGGTTAGATTTTATTCCATTTAACAAACTTTTATTTTTGCTTCTTTAATGTCTTCCACCACCACTCTGACATCCCCTTCCCACACCGTAATTTCCGCCTTCTCAGTTTTTTCATGATATTTTACCAAGACAGAGTTCTCTCCTTTGCATTTATCACTCTGCTATGTGTCATGATTACCTGTGTCCACCTCTTCCCTCTGCCATCCTTTTCCATTTAAATTGTAAACATCCTGAAAGCAGAGTCTGTGTTTCATCTATATTTGCAGTTTTTGTGCCTAGAATACAGATGTTACTCGGCAAATATTTGTTGAATTTCATCAGATTGGTAACTTGATTATGAAGAGATGGAGGGAGAAGAGTTAAAAATGAACCCGAGATTTCAAATATGGGAGACTGAGGGGATTAGAGTGCCACTGAAAGAAATGGTGATCAGAGAGAGGAGTAGGTTTGGGGAACACATAGTGGTCCTGCTTTGAGATGTATTGTTTTAAGTGTCAGTGGGACATGTATGTGGAGATGACCTATGGATAGGGAGAGACAGCAGACTGGAGAGAGGCTTGCCGACTTGGCCATAACCAGCATGAAAGTGAGAATTGATAGTCTGAGAGTGAACAAATCAGATTCCAAAAGAAAAACGTGGAAAAAATCCAGGAGAGCTTAAACTCTTGGGGAATAGCCATTTTAACAATAGTCGAATGGGAGAATCAGGAAACTGTGGTGTGTATGAGGCTAACAGACAGAGATTGCCTAGAAGGAAGAAGACACTTAACAGTATCAAACATTGCAGTAATATGAAGGAGGATAAAGATTGAGGGAAAAGCTCTTGGACTCAATGATTATGAAATGATTAATTAGTTTTAGAAATAGTCATTTTAATAGGATAGTAGAGATGGAAACCAGATTTTAGATAGGAGAATGGGGAATGAGGAAGTGAAGTTATGGGGTATAGATAACTTTTTCAAGGGTTTAGAAGTAAGAAAGAGAAAGAAATAGGATTAAGTACATCCTCGAGTGTTTATAACCAATTTTACCACACAAATGTTAAGAACTTGGCAGGTCCAATGTTGGGCACTAGAGAGAAAAGTAAAGAAAACAAAGCAATCATCTCTGCCTTGAAGGAACTTACATTTAATTCAGAGGATACAATACACATTCAAATAAGTTGACATGAAGTAAATAAGTAATACAAAATCATTTCAAGAGGAAGAGTACCAATTAATTGGGGGAGTTGGAGAGAATCAGTAAGTGGAGTAAAATGCAAGCTGTGCTTTTGAAGAATCCAGGCATTCTATAATGAGGTGACAAAAGAAGGAATACATACCAGACATGAGAGCTCCATATGCAAAGGTACAGGGGTAGGAAACAGTGTGTCATGCTCAGGAAACAGCTAACTGGTCAATTTGACTATAAAGGAAAGTGTGTGAGGCAGATCAGTATAAAATTGGAAAGGTTGGTAGGAGCCAGATTGGGAAAGGTTTTAAATAGCAAGCCAACCATTCTTATTTTTATCCAAAGCTTTTGAACATTTTTGAATAGAATGATGAAATGGAAGTCAGTCAATCAATCAACAAGCATATAGGTACCTACTGCATGCCAGGCAGTGTAATCACCAGGGATGCAAAGAAAGGCAAAACAATAAAAAACCAAACAACAACAATAAACTTCTCTAAAAGGGAGAGAACATGTAAACAACTATGTGCAAACAAGATATAGCTATATAGATTACACACCCACACCCACACACTCATGCCTGACACATGGTAGGCACTATATAAATGTTGGGAGAGAGAGTAAATTGGAGGTAATCAATAAAGAGTAGACATTAACATTAAGGGGGAATCAGGCAAGGCTCCTTGTAGAAGTGGGAAGTCTAGGCATCTAGAAGGCAGAAATGAGAGAGAGAGAATTCCAGGAAAAAGGGATTAACCACGCATGGGGGTAGAGAGTGGGAGAGTGGAAGAGTGGAGGTTGGGGAGAAAATTACTGGAGTTGGAGCCTGGGAACGATGGATGAGAGTAAATCTGAGAATGCCTATGAAAGGATTAGCTTTTTAGAGAGCAGAGAGATGCCTCTTTTCCTATGACCAGAGGTAAGGTGAGAGTAGGTTGTGCTGAGAAGTTCTGAGTGATGGAGGAGGGTAGTTGAGGCTTCCTCATCAATGGCCCCTTCTTACTGAAGTAGGAGGCTGTCTTGGGCTATAATGTTTACTACATTGAAGGATAAGGGTTTGGAATAGCCCACTAGGAGGAAATGAGATAGAAAGACCAAGAGAGTAGAGGCGAAGGAATGCACAGTTGAAATGAAGAGCTAGCTGACAGTATTGCCTCAGATGAATAGCAATGAAAGACTTACAAAATCCCATTTAAGACATGCTGCACATTAAGGATAATAACAACAACTAGCACTTATTTAACACTTTAAGATTAGCCACATGCTTTACGAATATCTCATTTTATCCTCTTAACTCCGGTATAGGTAGGTATTAATAATAGGTAGGTGCTATTATTTTGAGGAAACTGAGGCAAACAGAGGTTAAGTGACTTGCCCAGGGTCACAGAGCTAGTAAGTGCCTGAGGCTGGATGTGAACTCCAGTCTTCTGGACTCCAAGTTTAATGCTGAATTCACTGCCCCACCTTAGCTGCCTTGTGCTGAGGTCATAAGCCTTAAAATTAAATTGGGTAGAATCAATTCCTACAGCATAACTGCTCAGCGTCTAAACATGGATAGTAGCAGAGGGATCCAGTAAAAAGTGGACTGGCATCAGACTCGGGGAAACTGAGACTAGAGCTCTAGCTCTGCCAGGGCGGGATGACCATGGGTAGGGCGTTTTAGTCTCTCTTTCCCTCAGCATCTTCATCTGCAAAATCTCAGTGTTTTTCCTGGATGCTCTCAGAGGCCCTTCCAGCTCTTAGCATCTGTGATTCTATTAATGGTCTTCACCTTCTCGGTGCGGTAGAGTAGTGTTGCTATATTTGTTCTTTAAATGAACTGGAGCTCAAAACAAATGGGGCAGTTCGAAGGACAAGTGTAACAGGAAACTTACTGAACACTGTCTGTCGCAGATTAATATTTTGGGGGCTTATGCTTGTAGGTCTTTTCTTTTCCTCACAATTTCACTCATATGTTGCCCATAAATCTTGAGTTTTCAGTGTTCTTCTTGGCTGTCTATTAGGTGAAATGCTTCATTTGCTGATATTAGTTAAGAGCCTGGGAATGGTCTTACTTCTGCTTCTCCCCCATTCTCCTGGCAGTCTTTGTGATTTTGGGGGAGAGAGCCCAGGGATTGCTTTTCAGTGCCTGCGAAGATGGCTAGCCTTCGGTTGCTCACTGCATCATCCACTTGTGTTGTCATTTGGCCTCCGCTTTGAAGTGGTAATATTACAAATCTCCCAATCACTCTTATCCAGTCTGGTTTAGTATTCATGCGCCTAATTTCTCCTTGTAATCTGATTACTGGTTTGAGCTGTTGCAGCCTGCAGTCCTCTGCTGTGCATTTACCGTACTCCCCAGGACGCGAGTGCCTGACAGCACTGGTCCTGGGCTATGAAAAATCTCTACACGATTTTGCTTCGACGGGCCTAGGGCTGTGGCTGGTTAAGAATTAGCTGCTCGAGGAATTTCTGTTAGACGAATCCTTTGTTTGTGCAACCATGTTCAGAAACCCTTGGATTTCCAGCTTTGTGGAAGCTCTTGAATACTCTGAGGAGCAAGGTAAGCGGCAAGAGGTTCTCCAGAAAGCCGTTACTCATTTCTTTCACTAATTGCCTGAATTCTCTGTTGCTGCAGCTCTTAGGAGGGCACTTTCTCCTAGAAATGCTAGTTATTAGTTATCCAGTAAGCTATGTAGCCTTATATTTCTCACAGAGGATACTTGAAAAAAAATCCAAGTTCTTTAATTAGTTTATTTTAGAAAAGCATTAAATTTAAAGCTTGGTTTGGGGGGTGGGGGGGGATGAGTATTTTAGGATTTCTCTTTCCTGATCAACAATTAGAAGTATTTCTACCACCTAAAAGCTTTCAGCAAGGACAGTTGCAGACCCCTGAATAATTAAACTTCTGATCAAGTTGAGAATCAGTTGGGTAGTGGATGATTTTGTCAACCCAGTGTTCTTTACTAAATTCTCTCCAATGTCTGAGCTGTTTGTTTTGATTAAATCATCCCATGAGACAGTTTGGAGCACGGGTTTGCATTTTCAGTGGCTTCTTTTTCAGTTTACGGGAGAGTATATGGTTTCAATTTAATTACTGAAATATACCAAATACTCAGTTCACTGCCTGAACAAAAGATGAAATGTGTAGATTCTCTTGAAATCACTTGACTTTCAGACATCACTTATCAAAAATGGCCCTCAGCAGAACTTCAGCATTTGGAAGTGACAGGGATCTGTCTGGTTCCTTTGGTACATTTATACTGTACTTGGTAACATTTTGTGCTGAGAGTCTCAGTTGATTTGTACAGGGCACAGACAAAACAGCTAAAAAACAATCCCAAGCCAGCCACAGCCAAAATATTAGTGTCTGTTAGACACAACGCATAAGAAGAGAAGAAAAAAAGCTTAGAACTTTTCATTGAAAATGTTTTTCCAATTTTGTGTCCCTCTTCATTGACAAGTTTACAAACACTAGGCTTAAGTATCTATTTTGATGGGCAATGAAGTATCAACATTCACTTCATCTTGTACCTCTTTCCCCATCAGGCCCCTTGCCCCCAGATCCTAGGTAGAGAGGGCTCATCTCCAGGAAAATAAAGTTTCTATAAGTGGTTTACTTGTGGTTTTCTTGGGGGACAAATGATCACTGTGCCAAAAGCTGTAAAATGGGTTACATACTGTTAGAAGGGTTATAAATTTTGCCCACGCCTGGTTTTTATTAACCAATTCATTCTATGTATGTGTTTCTTCTGTGCAGAATTGTTACCAGCTGCTCTTACATAATATATATCTGGTCTTCAAAACTAAGTAGTTGGTTAATAGGATGAACTTTTACGACTAAGGTTTAGTTTAAAAAAGAAGGGGGGAGCGGGAAACTACAGATGTCTTATTGCAAAAGAAACTGTAGCAGAGATAATAGGAACAGGATTTCTCAGCAGATGAGGGGCTTCAGAGTTCCTGACCCATCTTTACCAAAGTTTGCTTGGTCATTTCTAAGTGTAAGTTGGCATTAGTTTAAAACTACATTAGAGGGGCAGTGGTGGCACAGGGGATAGAGTACCAGCCCTGGAGTCAGGAGGACCTGAGTTCAAATCCAGCCTCAGACACTTGACACTTACCAGCTATGTGACCCTGGGCAAGTCACTTAAATCCGAGTTCCTCTCCAAAAAAAAAAAAAAAAGGCTATGTTAGACCGTTGTCCTTATTGCTCCATTTTCTTCCCTTTAAATAGAGAGGTTAGACTAAAATTTCTGCAAGGACTTGACTAACTTGTCATTGTATTGGTGGGAAATGCTGACTGATTCCAGAACAAAATCACAGTAATATTAAATGTTTGGATAAAATTGACTTCTGGAAAAGCCCTCATCTTCTATCTATGACTCACAAGAGTGTTCTTATTTTGACCCTGTTTGAAAGGCTTGGTGAGGGGTGGTCTTTTTGTTTACAGGAATAGTGCTGTTAATCTTCAGTTTCTTAATCTATGAAATGAGGATGATAATACCTTTGATGCCTAGAAAGTGCTTTGTAGACTGGAAGCTGTGTCAGTACGACTTTTTATTACTTTTCTGGTCCCCACAGAAACAGCTTCTTTCGACAGTGAATAGTTTGACATGTTTGGATGAGGTTTTGATTGTTGTTCCACAATGCAGTGACAAAACCAGCTTCCTATTCTGTTGTCATTTCAACATCATCTTATTTCTTTACCTTTAGATTTCAACAAGAAAAAGCCAAACCTCTTCCGGCTACCACATCAAAGAAGAGTGTCAAGGTAAAATCACCAGAGTGCTTTAAGGAAACTTAACTTGTTTAATTTGAAGCTTCATAGAAGCCTTTGAAATGTAGGAGACAAAGCTTGGACAGTATGAGAGTTGAGAATGGCGTGGTGCTCTCTGGCTTAAGAGAGAGCTACTTCTTCTTTCTGTGCTCCAGGGTCCCTTATCTGCAAAACTGGGAGTAGACCATGCCATTCCAGAGGAATTTGAAATCTCCACTCAGGGCCTTGGAGTTCTTAAAATTCTAATTGCTGCTTTAAGATGGTGTTTTTAAATGATGTTCCTGCCAAGAAAGATAGCTGAGCCAGGAAATGCTTCCCTTTGGGGTGTTCCCTTCCTTGGTTGTTGAGTCTAGGGGATAGGTCTGGTCTGCCTCAGAGCTGTTGGCTTCAAGTGGGAGAATCAGTCATTCCACCATATAGTTAGCCACATAGCACAAGAGAGAACGATCATAGTGCAGCTCCATCCCAAGGTGGACACAAAGCTAAAGTATTAACAGGTTAAAGTAAAACAAAACAGCATGGATGGTGACCGTAAGTAGATTTCTGTTGGCTCCTCTGTTTGAGGATATTGCTGACAAAGTTCTCTTCCCTGTTTCTCAACTAAGCATGAATTGAGACAAAGCCACATGAGTGTTTGTCCATAATTCTATACTGTGAGCTTGGCCAGCATAGAAACAAGGGGCCTAACACTCATTGCCACAGGGCTAAGTGCAGTTCTAATTGTGACGGAAGCAGAGTGAAAGCGCTGTTTATGTTGTAAGGATCAGGGATTTCTGCCCACGTCCACTCTCTCAGTACAAAAGAAGCCAGACCAAAACGAAACAGCGTGGCAGAACTACTGCAGGTTATACAGCTCAGCTGCATCTTAAGCAACTTCCCTTTCCTGCTCTGTAGGGAACATTTTCTAAAGTTCTGCAGTAAGATGGCACAATTTAGTCCATTGGGTTCTCTTGTGGTTTACCAGGTCATTGAACCTGAACCAGAACCAAATCTTTGGAGAAACCAAGATAATTCTAGGAGACCTGACTTGTGATAGCCTACCAAAAATGGGGATAGTGAGAGGGAAAAGAGGGAAGATTGTGTAACCATGCTTTGCAAAAGCAAATCATTTTCCACAAGAGAGAAAGGAATGAGAGGAGGAGAGCAAAGGCTTTGAGGAAGAAAAGGGCAAGTTACTTCAAAATATATGAATTTATCTGGATGTGATAAGATTACCGCTTCCTTTTTTTGGTATTGCGTGTAAAATGGGCTTGGAGAAATAGTCATTTGCACCCCAAGGACAAAGTTGACTATAAAATGTATTTCACTTTTACGTAGAGAAGGTAAAAAAGGAAGGTAATGTAAATTAATCTCCCTAGTCCCCTTCATACACAAGATCCAAGACAAGAGAGATCAGGCTGTAGGCAGCTCAGTGCACTACATGCGTGGTTAATATTTCTTATAATCATAATAATGACCCTAGCCTTCAAATCAGGGTAATAGGGTAATAGCAGAATATTTTTGCTGCTGGCACTTGAATCAAATTGCCCCCTGTTGCTTTTGCTGAGCATGTAAGTAGGTTAATGGGACATGTATTTTTAAAAAATTCCTCATCACTGAAGCAGATTGGTTACTCAGAAAGAGATAGAAGGGAGAGATGCTGAAGAACAAAAGAGTCATACAGAGTTACCAATATTTCAAATGACCTGAGTTATGTGTTGATGATTTCTCCTTCAGTGTTTGGATTTATACTTTGAGAGGGGAATCAACCATTCCCCTTTCTCTTTCACCTTTAATTTTTCTCAAACAACTGCCTCTTTCCCTACTTCATATACAGATGTTTCCTTCACTTGACCTTGCCATGATTGCTTTAAGCTATTATCCTCCTACTCTTCTCTCTGTCCCTGTCTATCTCTCTCCTTCTTTGTCTGTTTCTCTATTATTTGATCAACTAGAAAGAGTCAGCTTTGCTGCCTCTACTTCCTAGCCCCTTGAAGTCAAACTCCTAAACAGTCTTTTAAACTGGGGTCTGAGATCTCTTTGTTGCTAAATATGTTGGCCTTTTCACCCACGTTGACTTTTCTACAGCTTTTAATGCTATTCATTTCTCTTAGACAATCTCCTTTCCTTTGGCTTCTGAGAAATCATTCACTCCTGCATATTCAACCACTCTCCAGTCTCCTGTGCTGGATCATCTGTTTTCTAGTCCTCAGACTATTTTCTAGTCCCCCCATGTAGACCCCTTTCCTCAGCCCCCTTATCTCTCTCTGTCCTCTCTTTGTGATCTCATCTATTCCCATGGATATGGGTATTTCATTATTTCTCTGCAAATGATTCTCAAATGGATATATGTGTTTGCATATGCATACTTATAGATGTGTATATATATGTACATAATGCATGCATAGATGTATATATCCAATCCTAATCTCATGAATTCTTGTCCCCTATATCCAGCTGCCTGCTGGACATCTCTGCCTAGATCAGTATCTCAGACTCAAACTTAACATGTCACCTCACCTTAAACTCAGAGGAATTTCAAATCTCCACTCAAGTCCTTGGAGTTCTTCCTCATTTTTTTTTCTCTCTATTGAGAGTCCCATCATCCTCTCAGTCACCTGGGATCATAACTTCAGATTCATACCTGACTCTTTCCTCCACCCACACTCCCCTACCTGCCCCACATTCAATTAGTTGCCAAGTCTTGTTGATTTCTCCTCTACAACATCATTTGTATTTTACTCTTTCCCTCTATTTGTGTAGCCCACACTCTTGTTCAGGTTCTTGTTACTTCTTGCCTGAACTGGAATAATAGCCTCCCAATTGACTCCCACCCTCTATACTCCATCTTCCATACAGCTGCTAAAATCATTTTCCTAAAGCAGGAATTCGACCATGTCACTCTCCTACTCAAGAAACTTCATTGTCTCCCTGCTGGCTCTAAGATGAAGTACGAATTCGTTAGCCTAGAATTAAGTGACTTCCATAACCTAGCTCAAATCTCCACCGCCTCCCTTCACACTTCATACCCAACAGTTTCCAACCAAACTTAAATAATTGTTTTCCTCCTAAGGGAATATGCCATCTCATGCCTCTGCATTTGGATAAAAAGTCCTTCATGCCTGAAATGTACATCATCTTCATTTCTGCCTTTTAAAATCCTTGTCTTCCATTAAGTTCTTGTGCTTCCTTCTCAAGGCATCTATGCATACATTATGTACATATATAGACACATTTATAAGTATTCATATGCAAAAATATCCATTTGAGAACCATTTGTAGAGAAATAATGAAATACCTTCATTGAATTAAAGGCAGGGATAGTTTCATTTCTCTTTCTACAGTTGGAACAGTGACCTACAGTGAAATGTCAGCATGGTGATGGAGTGGACCAGTAAATATTGCTGTGAAAAGATTCAGCAGATTGTCTGATTAGAAGATGAGGTGCTTCTTACCTCCAGTCGTCCTTTAAATTAGTAGAGAGGGAAGGGAGGGGGCAGTCAGGGAAATGCAGACATTCAGTTTTGAAAATGGCTTTTGTGGGTGAGCGGTCAGCACACTAAGATGAATGCACATGCACCATGAAGATGAATGATGGGGGAAGCACAATGTTGGAGAGATGGAAGAATTTCATTTTAATACCAAAAACATTCCCTGACAGGGTCTTATTGTTCCATTGAGTCAGATAGAAAGCGTCTCTCCAGAGACTTTCTGTTGCTTATCTCAACTCTAGGTTCTATATGTGTGATAAATGCAATTATTGCTACAGTGCCCCTGGTCCCACCAATTATACACTTTTCATCACTTTTTCTTTTTCTTTTTTTTTTTTTAAAAAAAACCCTTTTTTCTGTCAGGCATCTAAAAAGAACCTTTGAAAAAGGCTGCTATTGTTTTGCTGCTTTTCTTTTTAATGGCGAGGAGTCAGTGCCAAGTAATCCTCTCTTTTCCCCTTTCAGAAATCTTTGATGCTTCCTCCATAAAGCACGTTAATTAATAATAATTCATCCTCATTGTCAGTAATTAGCTACAATTACATGGCACTTTAAAAAGCATTAGTTATGACCATGAGTTTTACCTTTTCTACAGGCAAGAACTAAGCCTTTAAAAAAAAAAATAAAGATCATGATTTTTGTGTCCTAGCCTGAACAATGTGCTTAGGGAAGAAAAAATGCAGTAGATCAGAAAAAATTCTGTAGATCAAATTGAAATAGAAGTGAAGACAGCTAAACCCTACATAAAGATTTTGCACACTACAGATTGACTTAGAAAACTGCATATTCATATTATCTATGTTTTATTGTATTTTTATTTTGTTAACTATTCCCCAGTTACATTTTAACCTGGCTTGGGCAGCACTTGGGAAGGTCATAGTGGGGCCCTCATGTTTTGATAACTTTGCTATAGATATCTCTTTGCCTAATTATTTTGAAATATGGAGAAGTCCTTTTGATTTACGTTTTGATTGTTATAATATCTTGCTCCAAAGAAATTTTAGAGTACACTCAGACTTCCTTGACCTTTGAGAAGGATTCTGCATCCCGGCTAGATTCATATAAACATATACAAAGAGAATTTTACATGGAAATGTTGTCAGGCTCATATCTTTCCCTTGCCCAAAAATCTGGTATTTCCCTCTTGTCTCTCAGAAAACATGCTTGATATTTAAAGACTGTCACCAAATGACTTCCCTTTACCTGCCCATATTTATTTCATTTTACACCTCTTTGGGTATCCGCTATTCCATCCAAAACTGGGCCTCTTCCAGTTCCCTGAATTCAATGCTTATCTTCCACCTGTCCTGTATTCCTCAAATGTACCACAGGTTGTAGCAGAAAATTCTATTAAACTTATAGTTGTAAGAGCTGCGATACTGGCTGTGTCTGGGGCTTTGGGTCACTCCCTTCACCTCCCTGGGCCTTAGTTGTAGCAAATGACCTTTGAGGTCCTTTCCATCTCTCGATGTATGATCCTCTGAATACATTTCCTCCTCACCTCCAGTTCACCGTAGGTAAAGCCTTAGCTATTAGTGCTTTCTCCCTCCTCATATTTTCTCTATTTGCTGATATCTTTCAAGGTCATATACCCCTCACCAGCCCATCTCCAGCACAATGTCAGCTCCATGCCGGGATTGCTTTTTGCTTTGTTTTGTTCTTCCAGATCTGGCCCAGTGCCTCCCACACAGTGGATGTTTAGTCAGTGTTTTCTGAATGAAAAGTGAATCTTGTTTTGTGATTAGGTACTATGTAGGATTCTATTTGTCTGTTTTTCTTATCTCTTGTATTCTTATTTTACTATCTTTTCCATCTGGTTATAATGCTAGGCACTAGAAAAGCTGGCCTTATTATCAAAAAGCATTGTTACCAACTAGTCCAACTTACTCGTTTTGTTGATGAGGAAAATGAAGCCCATGAGATTAAGGGACTTGTCCCTGGTTAAACAGCCACGTAGAGGGAGGTCCAGCATTACAACCCGTTTGTTTTCTCAAAATCTTTATCCAGTGCCCCCTTGGGCCTTGCTTTTGTTGATACCCATTACAGACAATTTTTGACATTTTGTCACAGATATCTTGGTTTTCAGAATTTTCTTAGGCTTTGATTAACTGGATAATTTTTAGTTTTCAGAGAGAATTTTCACTTGAAGAAAAGGAACAGCTTGCCAACCGTAGAAGGGATATTGATGCTACTCTTTTAACTGTACTTCCCAAAGGTGAGTTCCCTCTAAATTATTTATCAGTTTCTGATCCATGTGAGTAGCAAGAAAAATGTTAACTCAGATTTACTTTAAAGGAAAATCTCTCAATATTTTTCCCAACATTGAGAAAAAAATGTCATCCACATGGAAATGTAATGATTTCCACACCCATCAGCCAACTAATTCTAGTATTGTGTTTAGTCCACTGTAAGGCAATAAATGTTTTATGATCTCTCCACATTTTTTTTAGCTGTTTTAGCTAGGAAAAGACAAAATGGGGTGGGGGATGAACAGCATTCATTAACCAGGATTTTCTCTGCTCAATAAAAGGAAGCCCAGCATTTCTTCCACAAACATCCAACTCTGATGCCTCATAATGATATGGAGGTAACCCTCATTTCTCAAGCTCTGTCAGTTATCACATAGATAAAAGTGTTATGGGCTAAAGTGCTCACAGAATTCTGGCTTCTGAGAATTGAATGGTTTTTGGCTGCAACAATCCATAAAACAGATGAAAATACAAAACTGTTCCCGGTCCAGCGCAACCCCCTTGTACTTCTGCCAGGCCAAGGAGCCCTGTTAGGGTTTTTTTTAACCAACACTAACTTTTGGTCATCATAATGTATAATGTTTGTCCTCACATTCCTGGACTAGCAAAACCCATCTAAGTAGTGATTTTCTTATCAGCAACTAAACCAGAAGCCATAAGGAAGTAGCAGCTCAATGGGAGGATGGCAGCTTGTACATTCTTTACAAAGAAGTGGGGGGTTGGAGGGAAACTTGTTGGAGTAGTTTTTGACTTGCATCTAGAGGCAACAAGAATGTCATTTCATGGAACTCTTTGTCATCTCAACTTGCAGCAATCCCGATATTTATGATCATGACTATCGTAAACAAGGACCATGGTGGCAAGACTCCACTTGTGGGCCAGCATTTGTTATAGGAGGTATCAATACACTCTATGGAGAAACTGACAAGATCATAAATTTAGAGGTGGAAGGGACATTAGAAGACATAGGGTTATCTTCTTGCTCATAGTATTCTCTGATTTGCTCAAGATCACATAGGTAGTAAGTGACGAAGTCAGGTCTCCTGAGATATAGATGAACTCTAATGTCCCTTTCAAATTTGAATCCTATAAACATAGAGCTTGATACTTGGTGGCTTCAAGGTGAGGGTGGGCACAAGGGAAGACAGTAAAAATAATACTGAAAAATATATATTTTAGATCCAGAACGGAAAGAGGTCAAAGGCTTATTGGCTATTCAGAAAGCTCATCTGTATAGGATAAATATTTTCTTAAAGAAGAGATTCAGAAAGCACTGGATTTGGCAAGCACCAAACATCAAAAAGAATGAATTTGACTATATTTTAACAGACAGAAATTGAGTAATTACCAATGTAGTAATCATTTCAGAATCAGACATGAATAGTCATACCATGACTTGATTACAGTAAAGGTCAAGGTCAATACCACATTAGGAGAAAGGAGAAAAGCAAGAAGATACAGCATCTGATTGTAGCAGGCTCCAGCATTACTGGTTATAATAAGCAGTCAAGTCCAAAAAAAAAATGGGGAAATGAACACAAATGTAGCCAGTGACTCTATCACCTTTTTTTAGAGAAATTGAATTAATAAAAAGCAATTGCCTCAGCCGGCAAACACTCAATGTTCTTGCCAAACTGAGTGATGTGGCGACTAAGAGCACAACAGATATCTTTGATAAAAGGTAACCCAAGATTGACACATAAAATAAGGAGCTATCCTCAGGTACTCACAGAGGGTACCCTGGATAGAATTTATATAGAGGAATTGTTGTTTTTGTTGTTGTTGTTTTAATCACTAGGGAAGTTGTTTTTAAAAAAGTTCCTCAATGAATTGCTGTCATTTGAAAGAGATAAGTCTAAGCACAAGTGGATGCAAATACAGATTATAGTATATAGACAGGAAGGCTACTAGCCCATCAGTGTGTACTTCTTGCACTAGTTCTTCAGATAGTTAATAAGCTAGATCCAGAATTGAATAGAAAGAAGAAATTGCTCCACATCACATTTGGAAAATGATGCTGTGCTTTTACTGATCTCTAGATGCACTTTGATGCAAAAGTCCATTTTTTTTTAGCATCACTAATTTTCCAGTGTGATGGTGAATCATGGAGCACCATGATCTCAGAAGATATAAAATGGCAGATGACCAAGAGAGCAAATAGAAACTGGCTTGGTGAAAATAACTGGTCTGCAGGATATTTGCTAAGGATGGTCTGCATGTAAGAAACTATGTAAAGTAAGAAACTTGATCACAAAATGAGAGTGAGGGAGAACAACTGGATGGCCTGGAGCACCACATGTGAAAAGAAGCAGAGAAATGCCTTCGCCTCTTCTCATTCTTTCAGGTAAATTCTCTGAGGAGAAGATAGCGGACACTGAGGCCTTGCTTCCTTTAGTAGTTCAATGTGCTTCTGCTTTTGTTTTTCTTATCATCTCTCTCACTCTATTTGTGCCCAGACTCCCAAATCTAAACTCTAGAATTGTCTGTTATATTATGTGTTGCATGTAAGTTATTTATAACATGCTGCTTATATCCACCGTGTATTTTTCCATGTTGCTGTCAAAGTGATAGAGTTTTTCAGGACTGAAGGATGTGCGACCACTAAGCAATATCCCAAATGGAATGCTGCCTCTTCCCATCTTCAGACCTGCTTTGTTTCAGCTCTGTGGCACTTGTCCAATGTGACACATATTGATGGGCTGATTCCATAAACTATCCAGCTAGCAGTAGGTAATAATCTGGGCTTTCCCAATTTAGATAGTTATCTCTTTTGCATTATTGTGAATTACTAAGGAGACTTTGTAGTAGTTCAGAGCTCCCTGTAGGAGAATGTGGAGAAGAACTTGCTAGTCAAAAATCTTTTAATTGGAACTTTGGTAATTGACCTTCTGTGGCACTCGTGAACACGTCTTGTTCGGTAATTCAGTTGATTTGAATATTCAGTCAGTGATTGAAGAAAGCAGTCTCTATAGTCATCTGCTGTAGTCTTGAATAATTTTGAAATGATAACAGAGATACTGTTTCTAAGGAAAATCTTCAAAGTTGCTTTTTGAGTAAGTCAAATGCTTTCTTGGAAGCAGTAGATGTTGTAGGACCTTATGTATTATCCGAAGGCCTTTCAGCCATTTGAGTGAACATAAAGGTATAGTTGGCTATGGAAAATTACTCATGAGAGCCTACCTTTCCCTTATAATATTTTTAGTATGGAGAATACTTGATAAGTCTTTGATAGCTATCTTCAAATGCTTAGGTCTCTTCTAATTAAGGGGCATTGAGCTTCCTATTCTTCTGAAGGATAGTGTTAAGTGGAAGTGATTGGGATCATTGGGCCAGCTTGGGAAACAGACAACTCTGAACTAGTAGAATTGTCTGAGCAGAGGCAAGGTCAGGCAACATCAGAGATCATTGGATCAAAGGTTTTGAGTTAGATGGGGCATTAGAGGTTATCCTCTCAAATCCTTTCATTTTACAGATGAGTACATTGAGGCCTAGAGAAGTTATGTGACTTGCCCAGGCTGATATATGTGTAAGGGGAAGAGCTGGCATTGAAAACCAGATCCTCTGGATCCGAACCTGGGATTCTCTCCACTGCCCCAAGATGACTTTCCTAATATGATACAGGAAGAATACATGCTGGGCAAGGTCATCTTGATTGGGCAAGGTCAGTGATTTTGGCAGAAATGGTAGAAATGGAAGTCCCCTGGCTCCAAATCCAGCAGTGGATAAGGTGCTGAACATGCAGTCAGGTGACACTTTTCTGTCTCTTGCTACCTGTATGACCTTGCATAAATCACTTAATCTCTATGGGCCCCAGTTTCCTCATCTATAGGATGAGGAGCTTGGCTGAGGTGGCCTATAAAGTTCCTTCCAGCTCAGAATCTGTGCCCCTGTGATCCTTTCCACTGCAGAAAGCAATTCCTAGTCACCTGCCATGGCCTTGTGGAATTTCAAAATGGTCGTGAGAGATAGTATTCTCTCCCTTCCACTGATTAAATGGCTTCTTTCATTTTAAGGTTGAATATAAACATGTTCACTCATTTTTTCAAAGTAACTTTTTCCCCTCAATTTGTAATATGCAGTTAAAAAAAACCACAAAGTTCTCAACTGGCTAGATCCCTTCCACATTAAAAATAATAATAATAATAATAATAATACTTCTGCCAGTTGGGTGTATTATATACTGTTCGTAGTTGCAGGCTCTTAAAATGTGTTACTTTGATAAGTATGAAATTAGTGCTCAGAAAATTTAGCATTTAGGACATGTGATCTTAGGATACAATAATTTCCAAAGAAGGTTTCATTGTATTCTTGTTTGGAGGGTTGAATCATCAACAGATCATTCCCAGAAATTCTTTTAGATTGAACCCAAAGAAATCCTGACACTATTTCTTACACCTGGGTAGAAATGCTTTAGAGACTATACATTTCCCAAAAACTACACCAAAGGTTGAATTTTTCTAAGTAACAGTTTTATTTATTTTTGCGAAAAAACATATCATGTGGTTAAATAATTTTTTTTTTAAGCACAGTACAAAATAGTCGTGGGATTCGGATCTTTTTGAATTATCTGCCTAGGAAAGAGAGATGAGGAGGCAGGAATGATGATCATGTGGAAGAGGATTCAGACTGGCTTTGCTTAGCCTCAGAGGGGAGCTGTAGGAGCGGTGAGCAGAAGCTACAGGGAGGCAGATTTAGACTTACTCTAAGAAGAAAAAAATTTTTTTTGCAAGGCAATCAGGGTTAAGTGGAAATTTCTAACAATTAGCATTCTAATTATAGGAGGCTAGTATGGCTTTAGGAAATAGTGGGCTTTCCCCTCATTGGGAAACTTTAAGCCAAGGCTAGGTGAGTGTCTGCAGTTGTTGGCAAGAGGGTGAAGAGGCAGGTACAGGTTGGCACGCGTAACTCCTGATTATAATTCCAAAACGGAAATTCTGGGATTCTGATGGGAAAGAGGAAAACACCT